ACATGATGTGGAAAAAGCTATAAGCCATGTGGACGCAGCATTGCTGTAGTACTTCTGAGGTTCATGTGTTGATGAAACTCATAAACTTTTAACACCTCTTTAAGGTAATATTGTGGAAGGGTGATGTGGAAGGCCAAAGGGTCCCCTCAGTGAAAATTGCAGCACTTAAACACTAACAGGCATGATTAAAAGAGACCTGAGTCACAGAGACTAACTCGCTATTTTCCCTCCTTTGCTTTCATGGATGCTGAGTCTTTAGGTTTGTTGTTTTCAGTTGTAGATTCTTTGGGTTGTTATTTTCCATAACACATCCTGTTACATGCAGCCCTCTCCCACAATCGGTTTTGGTTGAGTTCCATAGTTCATGAAGTGAGACGGTCCTGGGAAGTGGGACACTGACCAGGAGGAACCACGGAAAAGGAGAGCAAAGACATTCCTGGCCGCCCAGAGGATCTCCGACCCCTTCCCATGTCCCTGCACAATCATACTTATCCCTTTGCTAGAAGATACGGATCATTTGGAGAAGTGATCCTCTCTGTGTCCTTGGGTACAAACTACTCACAGCCACCCCCAATGTGTTTCTGAGGCAGTAAATTTTTAAGGAAGTATATTGTCAAGTCTTGGGTATCAATACTCAGTAAATTCTTTTTTTTCCCCCACTTCGGCCAGTTCTCATCACTGGCTGCTCATGACATGGGGTAAAGACTTTGTTGTTCCTAAAATAATATGGAAGTCTAAGGTGGCAGTAATGGTTAAGTCCTTGGTGGCTAACAAACCACAGCAAAACTATAATATACTGGAATTAATTTAATTGCAGAGTATTTCTCCTGGAAAGGATTTCATGATCTTGGAAGCTCAAGTTATGTGCACTGGAAATGTTCACTTAAGCCTAAATAACACGTAGTCAGTGGAATGGTTTTATTCAATGCATTCTATATCAGAAAAATGTAAACATTTATGTGGACCAGTAGGTAATCCCAGGAGTTATGCTCACTCAGATGAATAACATTTGAAGACTTTCCAAAATCACTGTAGATTAGACAGCCAGAGAAGTGAATTGTGTCATTGTCATCACTAGCTGACCTTGACCTGGGATTGAAGAATGACTTGGGACAGAACTGAGCTAGGAAATGGTATGGGTATTG